CTAAACAAATAGCAAACAAACAAAAAGTATTTGAAAAGTGTTTTTAGAATTCACTTTTAGACCAAATTTTTGTATAATTATCTCTCTTTTGCTTTGAAGTTCTCTCTCTCTCTCTCTCTCTCTCTCTGCACCTAAAATGGCTTTTTCTATAAGAAATATATTATAGTAATCTTTGTAGGCATATCCCCTATATATTCAGTTACTGACAAGCAATTTGTTATTGAAGTAGTGCTCGATTTGTATTTTATACATCAGTTTTGGTGCCAATAAAACTCACTGGCCTTTCACCAGTGCCTCTTACAGTTGCCCACACCCTTCACCCTCACTCTCTCCCTCAGTATATACTTTCTATGAATTCTTTGCTCCCTGTCCTCCTATCATAACTTATTATTATAACTATTACAGTGAGCGTGGTTTCACTACTACACCACTCGTGAACTATTACATGAGTTTATTTTAGATCAAATATTAGCCATTATTATCAACAAACAATGTTTAAAATATTTAATTTAATATATTCTATAAGTTTTATCTCAAAACATCAATAGTATTATTTAAATAACATTTAGAGAGAGAGAGAGAGAGAGAGAGAGAGAGAGAGAGAGACCAGCAATTTGCTCAAAGATTAGTATCAAATAAAATGATATAAAATTGTTTCTTTTGTTTCATAAATCATGTAATATATCATTGACTTTTGGGACTATTATTTATTTTATTATTTTAAGCATATCCCCTATATATTCAGTTACTGACAAGCAATTTGTTATTGAAGTAGTGCTCGATTTGTATTTTATACATCAGTTTTGGTGCCAATAAAACTCACTGGCCTTTCACCAGTGCCTCTTACAGTTCCCCACACCCTTCACCCTCACTCTCTCCCTCAGTATATATTTTCTATGAATTCTTTGCTCCCTGTCCTCCTATCATAACTTATTATTATAACTATTACAGTGAGCGTGGTTTCACTACTACACCACTCGTGAACTATTACATGAGTTTATTTTAGACCAAATATTAGCCATTATTATCAACAATGTTTAAAATATTTAATTTAATATATTCTATAAGTTTTATCTCAAAACATTATTAGTATTATTTAAATAACATTTAGAGAGAGAGAGAGAGAGAGAGAGAGAGTGAGAGAGAGACCAGCAATTTGCTCAAAGATTAGTATCAAATAAAATGATATAAAATTGTTTCTTTTGTTTCATAAATCATGTAATATATCATTGACTTTTGGGACTATTATTTATTTTATTATTTTATGATTATTTGTTAAGTTATAAGTTATAGAACTTATGGTACTTTATATCCAAGTGTGCAAACAATTTTGATAACATACATGAAAATGATTTTCTATCAATTCTCATACATTTAAGAATATATTATTTTATGATTATTTGTTAAGTTATAAGTTATAGAACTTATGGTACTTTATATCCAAGTGTGCAAACAATTTTGATAACATACATGAAAATGATTTTCTATCAATTCTCATACATTTAAGAATCATATTTCTTAACTTATTTGACTCTGACTTTTAAACCGACTCTATATATAAAATATACAAAAACTCAATTTTGGTCTCTTTTTACATACAAAATAAGAGAAAAATATATTTCATTATATGCTAAGTATACTATCTAATTGTGATCTATTAACAACAATGTTATGAAACAAACGAGAAAAGGTTAAAAACATTTATATCCTATCAAATCGTAGAGTTGTGTTCAAAATCTTAAAATCTGTATTTTATAATATCTTATAATAATTTTTGGCATAAATCCTACTTTTAAACAATTCTTCTAAATAATGATATTTATGTATTAAACAGGAATAAGAAATAATACATAACTCATATTATATTAGGCTTTAAAAATGAGATATAAATCATCATTTAAAATATTATTCTTAGAAAAAATACTTCATATGAGAGAGAGAGAGAGAGAGAGAGACGGAGAGAGAGAGAGAGAGAGAGAGAGAGAGAGAGAGAGAGACAGTGNAGAGAGAGAGAGAGAGAGAGAGAAAGAGAGAGAGAGAGAGAGACTGTTATAATCTTATGACAGATATGATAAGCAAATATGATGTGAGAAAAAGTTAGTTAAAAGAAAAGATGTGTAAAATTTATATAAATCTTATGAAAAGAGTATAATATATCAATATAATAAGACAAAACTGTGTACTGACTCGACGACCCGCCTCATTGTTGTGCAAATTCATGAGTTTCCTTCCCTGGTCTCGGGACGCCTTCGCATAGTTGGTCTCCCTTTCCTTCACGTCCACAAAGCTTTTGGCAAATTTGTATCCGTAGTCAATGTTGTCACCACATCCGCCCCATATCCACTCTAGTCCACGAGATACCGGTGCCCGACAGACATGATTGTCAGAAAATCAAATCAAACAAATGAGTTGTGTTTCATGTAATAAATTACTTGTGCATCAAATCAAGAATATAAATGTGTTCTCATTATATACAGTGTGTTATCATTGCATCGATTAAAGGCACTGATAGTCATGTATAGCCTCTCTATTGTATCCCATTTTTAATAGTTTTTCCTCCAAATTACAATGAATTTGAGCGCAAATTTACCCCACATTTAGACCGAAATCACTGATAAAAATTGCTTTTATTAATGGCTTACATGATTACTATTACTACACCAATAAGATATTATTCATAAGAGAGGTTCGTAACAAAAAAAACACTACAAAAGTGTATTCAAAGAACTAGTATTTCGATTAATATTTAATGGCTGAGTATGTGTTGAATCAATTATCAGATGTACTGTAGATCTCATTAATTTTCTACTTTATTAATACATATTTCGCTCCCTTTTCTCATACAAAAACACTACAAAAAACTTTTTACACATATAATATGAAAATCTAATTTCATTTAATGTGCAAATTCATAATAAATGAATCTTAACGGCTATTATATGTATTCAATGCATTCATACCCCGGTGTAAATTTTTAGGCCTCGCCGCACGACTACATCCACAGTGTGAGAGCTGTCCGTCCCTACAGGCCCGGGCGATGGCGTGGACAACACCTGCAGCCGTTATGCTGTGCATGAATGCCGTCTCCCGAGAGGCTATGGTAATGGGTATCGAGAAAAATGAGATAATAATTAGAAAATACAGTAATTATTATACGAATCATTAGTTATACGAATAGAGACTTAATGAACAGAATTGTAATTAATTTTTATAATGTTATATAATTTTTTACTTGTTATTATTGACACAAAAATTTAGTTCAACTAAAATAAAACATTTTGTGTTTTAATTTTGTCGATTAAAGAGTAAAAAAGTTTGTTTGTGATAATGTTTAGTACAAATTATGTGGTAATTAAGTTCAACGATTCAATCGAGTGGTGAAAATCAAAATAATTATATCTCAAGAATAAAACTTTTCGTGAAAAGTTTATAAATTGTGTTTTTAATTAAAAACTTTAAATTTTGAGAGAGAGAGAGAGAGAGAGACTGGTAACTTGATAACTTAATTTTAATTCACACATATTTTTATTCATTATGTACTGTATTTTTAAAAATAAATAATTATAACAACTTAAAATCCAATTTGTGTTTTGAATTTTTAATTAACTTAAATAATAAAACATAACTAATATTACTTTTATACTTGTAATAAAAATAAATACTGTACATGTTTATAAATAATTTGTACACAGAAATATAGCAATAAAAATAGCTGAAAATAGCTTCAATAAAAAATTTAATATTAATTTAAAGAATTTATTCAGTGATTGAGTGAATGAAATGTCATTTGAATCTCAACCCAAATCTGCCGACTATTCAATTTAACAACAAAAATGCTATTATTATGGTATTTGTGTTTTACTACTGTATTGCCAATTATATAATAATGAAAAGGCAAAATATTTTTAGACATAAGTAATTGCATTCAATCTGCGATTCCCTGTCTCTCTGCCTCCAAACATACCATTCAATCCGGAATTGTGTTTATTATTAACATTCCTATCATTTCAGAGTGAAAAACATAATAAAAATCAAAAATATAATCTCTTATTATATTGA